GCAGGAATGGGCAAGTCGTCTATAGGAACGGAGTGTCGAGGCCATCTCCCTCACGAGATGGTCACAGTCAGGACAAAAGTAGTCTGGCGGGCCACAAAGATGCGAGCAAAGTCGGGTGTCAGGCTCGGTTCGTTTGGAACGAGCGAGAAGACAACGTCGCCGTCATGGATAGACGAGGTCGACGCAGAAAAAATGAGGAGCCGCGGAGGAGAGTCAACCTAGCTCGACGAGGTGGACGCAGAAATGACGAGCCGCAAAACCTACAGCTCGATGAGATCCCCGCAGAAGAAACTGGCGCAAAGGAGAGACGACGAATGCAGAATTCGTCATCGTTGGATAGGAGTCGATGATATCGGAAAACAAACGCAGAATTCATCGTCGAAGCCGAAGGATCAAACCGGGAAATCGCCATATATATATATTGAGAAAACAAAATAAAAATTTAAAAATCTCATAGGAAGTTGTTTTAATTTAACTTAAAATTTTTGTTTTTTTTATTTAAACACACACACACACACACACACACACATGTATATATATATATATATATATATATTTAAATTTTCTTAAAAAAACATTTTAATAATTTGAACTATGAACATCTTTTATCAATGATGATGAACTAATTTGAATAATTATGAAAGTGCTATTATATTATGTGACAAAAAAGACTAATATTTTATTCATTCAATCTTGATTAGCTAAGTGAGAATGAGTGTTAATGAAAAATGTGTGTGACTTAATTGTTGATCTCTATTGAACCCCTTGCTTGACCATCAGATGTAACAAATGCAATGGCCATAGACACTTCAGAGAAATCACTTACCGCATCTATTTGAGTTATTTTTCTTGACATCAAAATTACTTCCAACTATTTTATATTCTTTAAGCTCATTAACTCTCATCATATTTTTAAGAGAATATATTTAAATAGACTATGATAAGACTCCTTTCAAGATGATCCTAATAAAAAGTGGTTATTGGATGCAATGGCTAACATGGTCCTAA